TTTGTAATATGTTTTGAAATTAAGAAGTGTGAGGGCTCCAGTATTGTTATTTTTCAAGATTTCTTTGGCTATTTGGGGTCTCTTGTGGTTCCATATGAATTTTAGGATTTTTTTTATATCCCTATAAAAATACTGTTGGGATTTTGATAGGAATTGAATTAAATCTGTAGATCACTTTAGGTAGTATGTAAATTTTAACAGTATTGTCTTCCAGTCCATGAATATGGGACAATTTTGCATTTGTGTCTTTAATTTCTTTGAGCAATGTTTTGTGGTCTTCAGTGTACAAGTCCTTAACTTCCTTGGTTAATTTTTTTTAATTGAAGTATGATTGACATAAAAAAAGTACATATTTTTTGTTTGGTTGGGTTTTTTAGTATCAATTTTTTAAAGAATTTATTTATTTATTTGAGAGAGTCAGAGATAGCAACAGAGAGCATGAGTGGGGCGGAAAGGGAGAAGCAGGGTCCCTGCTGAGAAGGGAGCCCAATGTGGGGCTTGATTCCAGGACCCTGGGATCATGACCTGAGCCAAAGGCAGACACTTAACCAACCGAGCCACCCAGGTGCCTCAATTTTTTATTTACATTCTAGTTAGTTAACATATAGTGAAATGTTGGTTTCAAGAGTAGAATTTAGTGATTCATCACTTACATATAATACCCAGTAAAGCTGTATATATTTAATGTATGCCCCTTGATGAGTTTGAAAATAAGTGTACACCATTAAACCATCACCATATACAATGCCCTAAACTTAACCATCACCTCTAGAAATTTCCTCCCTCCTTTTTCTCTTTTGATAATAACATTCAACATAAGATCTAGCATCTTAATCAATTTTAAATATCTAATACAGTATTGAAAACTGTATGCACTATGCTGTACAGTAGATGTATAGGACTTATTCATCTTGCATAAGTGAAACTGTATACACTTGATGAACATCTCCCCAGTTACCCCTCCTCCTAGCCTCCTGGTAAACATGATTCTACTCTGCTTTTATGAGTTTGACTGTGTTAGATGCCTGATATAAATTCCCATTTAGTATTCTACAAATTCTCATGTGGTATTTGTTCTTCTGTGTTTGGTTTATTTCACTTAGCGTAGTGTCTTCCAAGTTTTTATTGTAGCAAATGACAAGATTTTCTTCTTTTTTAAGGCCAAATAATATTCCATTGTATTTATACACATTTTCTTTATCCATTCATCTGTCAGTGGACATTTAGGTTGTTTCCATGTCTTTGCTATTGTAAATAATGCTGCAATGAACAAGGGAATACACATATTTCTTCCAGATCCCAATTCCAGTTCTTCTGGATATATACCCAGAAGTGGGATTGCTGGATTGTATTTTAGTTCTATTTTTAATTTTTTGAGGAACCTCCATACTGTGTTCCGTGGTGGGTGCACCCATTTACATTCGCACCAACAGCATACAAGGTTCAGAATTTCTCCGTATCCTCACCAACACTTATTTTTGTTGTTGTTGTTGTTGTTAATAGCCATCCTAACAGGTGTGAAGTGATATTTCATTGAGGTTTTGGTTTGCATTTTTTCCTGATGATTAGTGATATTGAGCATCTTTTTATATACCTGTTGACCATTTGTATGTCTTTTTTGTAGAAATGACTATTCAGGTCTTTTATGCATTTTTAAAATTGGGTTATTTGAGGTTTTTTTTTTTATTACTGCACTTTAGGAGCCCCTTATATATTTTAGATATTAATCCTTTATCAGATACATGATCTGCAAATATTTTTTCCTATTCTGTGTATTGCCTTTTCACTTTGCTGATTTTTTTTTTTTGCTCCTAATTTTTGTATGTGTCCTACAACTTGACTGAATTTATTGGTTTTACCCGTGTTAAAACAATTAATTGTGGAGTCTTTAGGGTTTTCTACATATAAGATCTTGTCATATACAAACAGATAATTTTACTTCTTCCTTTCTCATTTGGGTACCTTTTACTTCTTTATTCTTGTCTAATTTCTCTGGCCAGGAGAACTAGGTTGAATAGAAGTGACAAGAGTGGGCATCCTGGCCTTGTTCCTGATCTTAGGGGGAAAGCTTTCCAGTTTTTCACTGTTGAGCATGACATTAGCTGTGGGCCTTTCATATTTGGCCTATATTATGTTGAAATAAATTCCTTCTATTCCTAGTTTCTTAAGCATTTTTATCATGAAAGGGTGTTGGATTTTGTCAAGTGCTTTGTCTGCATCTATTAAGATGACCATGTGATGTTTATCTTTTATTCTGTTAATGTGGTATATCACATTGATTTTTGTATGTGGAACCATCCTTCCATCTCAGAGATAAGTCACTTGGTCATGGTATATGATCCTTTTAATGTGCTTTTTTATATTCATTTTACTACTTTTCTGTTGAGAATTTTTGCATCTATATTCATCAGGGATATTGGCCTGTAGTTCTCTTATAATGTCATTTTTTTTTCTTTTGGTATCAGGGTAATGCTGGCCTCCTAAAATTAGTTTGGAAATGTTCCCTCCTCTTCAGTTTTTTGGAAGAGTTTGAGAAGGATTGGCAGTAATTCTTTAAATGTTTGGTAGAATTCACCCATGAACCCATCTGGTCCTGGGCTTTTCTTTGCTGGAAGGTGTTTGATTACTAATTCAATCTCATTACTAGTTCTAAATCTTTTTAGGTTTTCTATTTCTTCATAATTTAGTCTTGGTAGGTTGTACGTTTCTAAGAATTTATCCTTCTAGGTTTTCCAATTTTTTGGCATATAGTTGTTCATAGTAGTCTCTTGTAATCCTTTTTATTTCTGTGGCATTAGTTGTTACAGCTCCTCATTTATTTCTGATTTTATTTGACACTTCTCTCTTTTTTCTCAGTTGAGCTAAAGGTAGTCAGTTTTGTTAATCTTTTTTTAAAAAAAACAGCTCTTAGTTTTTTTTCCTAATCTCTTTTGTTTATTTCTGCTTTAATCTTTCTTTCTTTCCTTCTAACTTTGGGCTTAATTTGATCCTTTGTCTAGTTCCTTAAGTTGTAGAGTTGTTTATTTGAGATCTTTTTCTCTTCTCTTCTCTTTTATTTTTTGAGTAGTCTCCAATGCCCGAGGTGGGGCTTGAACTCAAGACCCTGAGATCAAGAGTTGCGTGCTTGACTGATTGAGCTAGCCAGATACCTCTGAGATCTTTTTTAATGTATGCATTTATGACTATAAAATTCCCTCTTAGTACTACTCTTGCTGCATCCCATAAATGTTATGTTGTTGTTTCATTTTCATTTGTCTCAAGATATTTTCTAATTTCCCTTCTTATTTCTTCTTTGACCCATTGGTTGTTCAAGAGTATGATGTTTAATTTCCACATATTTGTGAATTTTCTAGTTTTCCTTCTGCTCTTGGAAGTGAGGTATTGAAATGTCCTAGTATTATTGTGTTGCTATCTATTTCTCCTTTCAGTTCTCAATGTTTGCTTCATTTAGGTGCTCTGATGTTGGGTGCATATATATTTATAGTTGTTATATCTTCTTGGTGAATTGACCCTTTTGTCATTATATAATGTCCATTTTTGTCTCTTGTGACAGTTTTTACTTAAAGTCTATTTTGTCTGATAAAAGCATGGCCACCCTGCTTTCTTTTGGTTATCATTTGCATGGTATATCTTTCTCTGTCCTTTCATTTTCAGCTTATATGTGGCCTTAAAATACAAAGTGAGTTTCCTGTAGACAGTTATAGTTGGAACTTGTTTTTGTATTCATTCAGCCACTCTGTCTTTGGTTAGAGAGTTTAACATACTACTTACTTGTAGAGTAATTATTGATAGGAAAGGACTTACTATCGCCATTTATTATTTGTTTTCTGTCTTGTAGCTCATTTGTCCCTCTTTTCCTCTCTTGAAGTTTTCCTTTGTGTTTCATTGATTTTTGTAGTGATGTGCTTTTTTCCTTTCTTATTTTTTGTTTATCTTATATAGGTATTTTCCTTAGGGTTACAATGGGGCTTCCTTAAAACATCTTATAGTTATAAAAATCGATTTTAAGCTGGTAAGAACTTAAATTTAATTGTATTTGAGGGTTCTTTGTTGTTTTCTTGAATGTTCTTTTTTTGTTTATAGCATCCCATTCCTAATAGAATATTGTCTCATTCCTCTGAGAGTGTTAGTGATGATTTTTTGAAGTTTTCTTCACCCTGCTAGTCTTTTTTTTTTTTTTCCATTTGCTTTCATTTCTGTTTGTTCTGTTCTCTCTTTGACATTAGAGGCTTTCCTCAGATGCCTGGTAATCTGTGCCCATACTTATGAGTAGGGGCCAAAAAGCAGACGAGCAGCCCTTGTTAACTTTTAGCTTCATTTTAAAGTCATCTGGTTGGTCCATTTGTTGGAGAAATTCCCAATGCCAAACCAGTATTTTTTTTTTTTATCTTTTCTCTAGGGGTTAATCATATTTAGTGTGCATTATTTCTCTTAATCTCCTTGTGTTCAGATACAGTATTTATACCCTCATCTGTGTCTGGCCTTTCCCATATTCAGGAAAGGAACTACCACTATTCACTGGGATTGGGATTGGCCTTTACCTGGTAGCTAATTTTAGGGGAAGATATTTAAGATCTAGTTGGCTTTTAAACAACTTTCAACCTACCCACCTTATCTTAACCTTATCCCTTTACATTCATTCTCAGAAGTACCTGAAGCTATCAGTTCCTAAACCGTTCGAGGATTCTTAGGTGTATACTGGGTTGGTTCCTGGCTTTCCCCACTGCAGGTTTAAGATTCACCTTTCTCAAGTACACTTATCTAATTATTTTCCAGCTTCCAGAATATTGCTGCTATTGCCTCCTTTCCTTATTCTTTCTTATCTTGTGGGTTTGTGGGTTTTTTTAAGTCCCTATAGTTTTAGAGAGTTTTCTGGAGGGAGTGAAATTAGATGCATGTATTCAGTCTGCCATCTTTATCTGAAACTAATTTTAACCAAAGTGAAATAGTTGCCTTACCTCCCTCATGTGATATTTCTGTTGATCCTCGGTTTATATTAGGTGTTATACCTGAAGAACCTTAGCCCTCGGGTGACCGAAAGAGATCTTGTCTCATTGTTCGCTCGGTTCCAGGAGAAAAAAGGACCACCAATTCAATTCCGAATGATGACTGGACGAATGAGGGGGCAGGCTTTTATCACCTTTCCCAGTAAGTAGCTTCTTCTGGATAATCAATTGTAGCATCAGTTCATTGGAGATTATTTACACCCTCTCTAATTTAAATCTAGCCCTTTGATTTCTCCATAGTAATAAGAAGCATGTGCTTGAACAAGCGCATGGGAAGAAGGAAAGAGAAGTAAGGAAACTATGTTTTCAGTGTTCCTCTGTCCTCCCTTCTGTGCTTCCTCTCCTCCATTGACAATACTTGACTGACCACCTTATCCCATTGTCCTCAGTTTTCCCCAATCTTGGCACTTCCTTCTCTCTATCAAAATGTACCTTTTTCCTTTGCTGATGATAGTATTTCTAGTTTAAGTTATAATTATATTACTTATTAATATATTGGTATTCTGGTCAGAATACTTGTACTTGCCTTATGCCCTATTCCTTTGGGACTAAGAGACTATAAGTTAACATGCTAATTCACTAGTAATTCATAATTAGTGAATGATGTTAAATTCTTTTAACAGTTGTTTCTATCTTAATACATGACTTCAGTATCCTAATTAAAAGAACAATGATACAGGAATTTCATTTTCTATAACAGACCAGACTGTCTTTTGGTGGTAGCTGGGTAGGAGCTCTACCTTTCATTATCCCTAAACTATCATTACTTATAAATAGCCTAGTAGTCTATATATAGGCAAGTACTTTTACATGTAAGCAGTACCAACACTCCCCTTCATTTTTTTTGTACCTTCTTATGCCATCTTTCCTATCATGTTGAAGGTTTGTGGATCCTCTATACTAGTGGTTTTTATATAATAAAAAGATTTTATAAACTAAGTACTTTAAAGTGAACAGCTGTTTTACTAATAACAGTAGTATAAAATTTGAAAATTTGTAGTATATACATATGTGAGACATAAATTGGTTTAGTCTAAAGACATTGCTTGTCTCCCTATGATTTCACAGACTCTGAGCAATAATTCCACTTCCAAATTTCCCACATCCAGGCTCTGAGGCCCATAGATTGAAAACTCCTGCTATACACTGTATACTCCCATACCTCAAGCATCCATATGCCTACAGGAATTCTCAAGCTTATTTATCCCAATGAGGGCTCCCACTCTCCCATCAAAAGAAAAAAGTAACAAAATGTCCTCAGTACCATGATAACATCTTTTATTCATGTCATCCAATTTGAAAATGATTTCATTATCACAATACCTGTAATCTGTTATCTAAGATAGAGGTTCATATATTATTAGTTATAGCTTAGCTTTCTTTGGCACACTGTCTATATTCTTGTTTCTTTAACCTTATCTTTGAATTAGGAGACACTCTAAACATCCATTTTAAGTTTTTATTGTCATTATTCTTAGCCATTAGTTTAATCTTGCTGAGTTGTATGAATTTGAGATTATGGAAAAGGTAATAAAATTAAATAACTATATGGCCTTATAGCCTATATTTAACTCCAAGGCAAAACAACATAAACTAGACTTGGAATGGAATTGAATTATTAAGCCCAATGTAAGTTGATGTTTTTTTCTTTCTTTTTTAGATAAGGAGATAGCAAGGCAAGCATTATATCTAGTAAATGGATATAAACTACGTGGGAAAATACTGGTGATAGAATTTGGAAAGAACAAAAAGCAACGGTCAGACCTCCAGGCCGCTTCTCTCATATCATCTGCTCCAGATAACACAGCAGAAATCAGTGGTAGCTAAAAGATATATAGATGGTGAGTCCCAGGAGGTCTTCCCTGCATCAGAATCTTGGATCTAGAATTTGTGTATAGATAGCAATTTGTTTGGATTTGAAGAAGAGAAACCAACTGAGGGAGGGAAGAACTAAGATAATCCCTCTCAGTTTCAGAATGAATAGCTAGAAAACATATTTTATAATCAAAGACTGTATAGGACAGACATATGCCAAGTATGAAGCATAGGGTACAAAGAGTATCATTTTCTCAGGATAAATTACAAATGATTATTTCTAAGGATTTTTTAAGATCTTTATAATTTATCTGGGGTCTTCAATATTTGTCTGTAAAGATAAGATTCTTTCCAAGATTGCCTCCTATATGCAGAACTAAAACACTAATTAAATGTTGAAATACTTATTTACTAGAGCTCATTTATCCCTAATCATATCCACCTAGTAAATAAATGACCACCCCAGGCCTAAACATCAACAAATGCTGTTGAATGAGAACTATCAGCAGTGACAATATGTATTTTCATAAGTCAGTCCACATATTTAATGAATGCTTCCCCATAAAGTTATCAGTGTCTTCAAAAAGCTATATATTTTTCTAATGAAAGCATTTAGGTCATAATATTGATGTTCTCATAGTCATTTAAGCTAGCTACCATTGAGTAATCATTGAATTCAAAGCAATAAACATTGAGTGACTATCTAATATATATTATATATTAGGTATATGAATTTTAGAAAAGGAACATACTAGCAAACAATACTAAAGGAGGGTGGAAGAAAGCATTCTCTAGAAGAGAGCCACCCATTCCCAAAGCCCTCGGTTTGTTTGTACTTGCTGGAAAATAGAAAGAAAATATGATATAGATGAAGTAGTACAAACTTTGGAATCAGACCTGTGTTTGAACTTCACAGCCACACTTATCACTTCGTGACCTTGGCAAGTCACTTAATCTGAGCCTCAGTTTTCTCATCTATAAAACGAGGATAATAATACTACTTACCTCATTGGGTTGTAAGTATTAAATGAGATAATATTATTTTGGCTGAAGAACAGCAAGGAAAAAAAATGAAGAAGGTTGAACAGAGAGTAGGACCATTAAGCACTCAAACATACTTGTAATGAGAGGACCAGAAAAAGAGAAGAGAAAGAAAGAAGCAGAAAAAATATTCCAATAAATAATGGATGTAAATGTCCCACATCCAAGAATTTCAACAAACGCCAAGTAGGATAAAGAAGAAATCCACAGACACATCATAATAAAAATGCTAAAACTCAAAGACAGAGAAACTCTTGAAAGTAACAGGAGAAAAATGAAGCATCATTTACAAGAGAACCCCAATCAGATTAACAGCTGACTTCCCATCAGAAACAATGGAGGTGGCAGTGGAATAACATATTCCAAGTGCTCAAAGAAAACAACTGTCAGTATAGAATCCTATATCCAATAAAGCTGTGTTTTAAAAAAATGAAGATAAAATGTAAGTCTTCCCACATAATCATAAACTTGTTGCTGGCAGACCTGACTTACAGGAAACATTAAAGGAAGTTCTTCAGGCAGAAAGCAGTGACCTCAGATAATAATTTAAATCTACACATACAGGAAAGTAGCATGGGTAAAGGTAATTACATAATAAGAAGAGACAGTCTAAATGCATTTTTCTTTTCTTAATTGATTTTAAAAGTAATTTTAAAAAGCAATATGAACATAGTTGCATTGTTGGGTTTATAACATATAAAAATGCAGTATATTTGCCAATAATAGGACATAGGAGGTGGGTGGAGGCAAAGCTGTATTGGACTATAGAAATGACTCCAGATGGTAACTCAAATCTACAGGAACAAGTGAAGAAAACAAGTGGGAAATAAGAAAGTTAATATAAAAAAGCATCAAATATTTATTTGCTCTTCTTTCTTCTCTGAGCTTCTTTAAAACACATAAAATTATATCAAGTAATAATTATAACAGTATATTGGGTTAATAATGTGTAGAAATAATATGTATAACAATAATAGTATAAAAAAGTGGGGAAAGAAGGAGGTTCATAAGGGAATAAGGTGTTTATATCATTGGAATTAAGTTTATATATATCTGAAGCCAATTCAGTTAAGATTTGTATGGTAAACCCTAGAGCAACCACTACGAAACTAACTGAAAATATATAGTGAAAATATTATTAAAGAAATTTAAATTTTTCATTAGAAAATATTCAGTGCAAAAGGATGAATAGAGAAACAAAGACAAACTCCAGAGACATATAGGAAACAAACAGTAAAATGGCAGTCTTAAGTCCACCTATATTAATAATAACAATAAATATGAATGGATTAAACCAATCAAAGACAGAGAGTGTCAGACTGGGAAAAACAAGCAAGATTCACCTCCATGCTGTTTGTTGGAGTCACACTTTATATTCAAAGACACAAACAGATTGAAGGTAAAAGGATAGAAGAAAATAGCGGTCAAATGGCAACTGTAAGAGAGCTGGAGTGGCTATACTAATATCAAATAATAGACTTTAAAACAAAAAATGTCATTAGACATAAAGAGTGACATAATGATAAGAGAATCAACCCATCAGAAAGATAGAGCAAAGTTATATATGCACCTAACAGCAGAGCACGAAAATACATGAATCAAAAACTGAATTAAATGAAGGGAAAAATCCACAAGTCTACAGTAAGAGTTGGGGTATTCAGTATCCCATTTTCATTAATAGAACAATTAGATAATAAAAAGGAAATAGAAGACTTGAACAGTGCCATAATGAACTAGACCTTAAAGTGATCTATAAAACACTTTACCCAGCACGAATGGAATGCACATTCTTCTTAAGGGCACATGAAATATGTCCAGAATAGATCATATCATAGACCATAAAACAAACCTCAGTAAATTTAAGTGGATTGAAATCATGCAAGGTATGTTTTCTGACTCCTTGGAATAGAGTTAGAAATCAATAACAAAGTTGAAGGACTCATAAACATGAATTAGACACATGTTTAAATGACCGATGGGTCAAATAAAAAATCACAAGGGAAATTAGGAAATCCTTTGAGATGAATGAAAATGAAGACATGACATACCAAAATGTGGGGTGCACCAAAAGCAAAGCTTGGAGAAAAATTTATAAACACTAATGCCTATATTTAACAAGAAGAAAGATCACATATAAATAACCTCATTTTATGCCTAAGACACTGGGAAAAGAGGAGCAAACTAAACTTAGAGTAAGCAGAAGGAAGAAAATAAAAAAGATTAATAAATGACAGGGAATACAAAAAGAGTAGAGAATGTCAATGAAACTAATAGTTGGTTCTATAAAAAAAGATCAACAAAAGTGACAAACCTTTTGTTAGATTGACCAGGGAAAAAAGAAGACTCAAATTACTAGAATCAGAAGTGAAGGAGGGAACATTACTACCAACCTTCTAGAAATAAAAAGTGTTATGAAGGAGCCCTATGAACAATTATATAACAATAAATTAGATAACTTAGATGAAATGGAAAATTTCCTAGAAACCCACAAACTACTGGAACCAATGGAAAACAAAATCTGAAAATGTCTATAACAAGTAAAGAGGTTAATTAATAACTCTTAAAAATACCCACAAGAAAAAGCCTAGCCTCGAATGGCTTCTCAGATAAATTCTAGCAAACATTAAAGAAGAATTAATACAAATTCTTTACATACTCTTCCAAAAAGTAGAAGGAACGCTTCTAATATATGCTACAAACATGGAAGAACGCTGAAAACATGCTAAATGAAAGAAGCCAGTCACAAAAGACTATGTAATTATGTGATTCCATTTATATGAAATGTCTAGAATTGGTAAATATATAGAGACAGTGGATTAGTGGTTGCTCAGGGCTGAGGGTGATAGCTGAATTGTATGAGGTTTCTTTAGAGGTTGATTAAAATGTTCTAAAATTGACTGTGGTGAAAATTGTACAACTCTATGAATATACTATAAATAATGAATTGTATACCTTAAATAGGTGAATTGTATTTTTATGAATTATATCTCAGAGTCACCAAAAAAAGAAATTGGATACAACCCAACTGTCCATCAATAAGAAAATGAATAAATCATGACACATTCATTTAGTGAAATACTATACATCCATTAAAATAATGGAGTATATCTGTGAATACATTCTGATCTGTATGATGTGCAGAATTTTGTATTAATTTAAAAAGCAAGAAATGGTATAATGTGAATGCATTTTGTAAACAAAAGCATTTGTATATGTATGATACATGTGTATATAGGTATTTCTGAATAAATTTAGGAAAAAGCTGGGAAATATATATACCAAATTGTAAACCTTTTAGAAGTAGGATTAGATAGACTGAAAGGGGACTTTTGCTTTATAAAATTTTTAAAGTGGTGTGATTTGGGGTGATTTTTACTTTTTTCAGTTTTTTTAAATTAAAAACAATTTTTTAATACTCTACAAATGATCTGGCTTCCAGAATATTTGTCAGGCCTGCTCTGAGGATATCATCTAACTATACTCAGGACAAACTCCCATTCCTTTGATATAGTGCTCACTTAGGATTAACTCTTCAATTTTAAATATAGTGTGAGGGGAGGAAGTAAGTTATCCTGGTATAACCTCTTGCACATGTTACCCAGGGACATACTTCTAAGCTGGACTTTTCAGAAGAAACTTAGTCCTCTTGAGTGGAAAATCTCACCTCTGCCCTTTGCTAGACCTGCAGATCACTAACAACAGAGGAAAATAAAAATGGAGGATGTCCCTCAACTGGTGCATAAACAAACTGTAGTATATCCATACAATAGAATCCTACTCAGCAATAAAAACTATGATGAACTGTGATACATGCAACAACTTGGATGAATCTCAAATGCATTTTGCCAGGTAAAAGAAGCCAAACTCAAAAGGCTACTTACAGTTTGATTCCATTTATATGATATTCTGGAAAAGGCAAAACTATAGGAACAGAGAACAAATCAGTGGATGTCAGGGGTTAAAAATGGCAGACTGATTACAAAATGGTAGCACAAGGAATTTGTTTTAATAATGGAAAGTTTCTGTATCTTGATTATAGTTACTTGAGTGTATGCATTTGTCAAAACTAGAATTATATGCCAGAAAGGATGAATTTTACTATATGTGAATTTTTAAATAAATGTAATTTTTAATGGAGAGAAGTCATAAAGTATTGTTCCTATTCTGTGGTCTTTTAATTACATGGAAGACTTAAAGCCACTTAGCTACTATTCCTTATTTTCTGCACACAGGTCAGCAGAAATCATCAGTTAAAAACATCTACATATACATACACACACAAACCCACTATAAAAACGTCAGAAGACAAACTAGAAAATAATTTGCCATGGACAAGGAGCTAATTTCCTTAATATACAAT